TTGGAGTAATTTCATTTGGAAGAACTGTTAATATATGAAATGGGAGCGGGTGGTACGCCTACCACAAAATATAATGAAATGGGAGCGGGTGGTATGCCTATCACAAGATATGAGAAATGGGATCGGGTTGCACGCCTGCAACGAGTTGTGAATCGAGAGTGAAATCTGCCTTCTTTTTCCTTATCCTTGTTAGAAGTTGAATTTTGGTTTCCTGATAATTCTCTTGAGATTCTGTTTTATCTGTTATTTCCCGAAGCATGTTTCCCCCTCCCACCTTTATTTGTTTATTTCTACTTTACTCTCCGATGTATATTATACAACTGCACAGGTTTATTTGGTGGTCCGGTCCTAGCCTCGTCACTACTTCGCCGAGGTTAGGCTAGACACTTACCAGCACATGGGGTCGGTTGTGCTGATACTACACTCTGTGCTCTTTTGCACAGATCCAGGTCCCGGACAGCAGCAGTAGCTCGGGAGCCAGCCTTCAGTCCACCGAGACTCCGAGGTAGCCTTGCACGCATCCGAAGGCCCGGCATCTCTCTCTCTATCGACTTTCCTGTTTCTTACATGTATTTCCAGAGACAGTGTTGTATTTAATTCTTTCAGACCTTTATTTGTAGTACTCTTAGACCGTTTGTGAAACTGTGACACCAGTTCTAGGTAGTCGAAATTCAAACGTTGTATTAGAAATTCATGTTCAGATATTAAATTTTTATCTTCCGCTTAATTATTTAAAGTTTCGTTGTTTTCATGTTATCGCCTTATATTTGTTAAAAAGAAGCAAAGTGGTAATGAAGTAAGTAGCTAAGGATTGGCTTGCCTAGCTCTCATTAGTAGGCGCCATCACGACTCCCGAGGGTGAGAAAATCCGGGTCGTGACAGGACAGTAACTATGGATGTCTCATCAACTGAGTGACTATGAATTATCTTTTAAACCTATTCAAATATTTTGTGATAAGTGCTGAAAGAATCATGTGCATCATTCTAGGGGTGAGCATATAGATATTAAGCATCATTTCATTAGAGATCATGTCATTGAGGAGATATAGAGTTATTATTTGTTGGCACCGCTGATCAACTAGCAGATATTTTTACTAAGCCTTTACTTGAAGATAGATTCTGCTCTTTAATAGAACTACTTGGCATTATTTCGCTTGATAATAAATATTAGGACTTATGTGTTAATTTTAATTCATGTGTGTCAAATGTTTTTAGTTTTCTTTTCTTCTGTAAGTACGCATTAATTGAGCGGCTCCGATTTCCCTCTCTTTTCCCATCAGTCGCAACTTTCAAGAAAGAAAAATGTCATGTTTCACTGGCACCCTTTCCTTTCCTGTACTCAACCGTCAAACCTTTTCTTTTTAACCCTCTGAACCATATTCCCTCTTCTTCATTGTTCTTATCGCTCATAAACCCTTCTCCAAAAAATCCTTTAGTGGTATAACACTCCAAGAATCCCTCTGCCTCCACAAGAAAAAATACTCGTTCTAAAGGAAAACCCTCTTCTCAGCCTCCAGAACAAGTAGACCTAATGTCCGAACACTCTGAAGGGTTTGCCTCTTCTCAGGCAGAACCATCTAACCACTCTCACTGAATTAGAGAAAAAGCTCGTGAAAAAAGGCACATGGAAGACCCCCCTAAATCTTTTACCCCTAAGAAATCCAAGGTAGACCCCTCGAGTTCTCAAGTGTCAGACCTCAATTTCATGGATACTCCAAATAGAGATTTCTTTGTTTCTCTCAAAGAAAAGCCAATTGGCCACGGCTGAGTAATCGATCTTGACGACATGGAGGCCCTCAATTGTAAGGTAAAGGATCTAATTATTTTTCAAGGATGGTCAAAATTCCTCTCCCCTCCCAAAGTCTATGAACCTTTAGTGAGGATGTTCTATGCCAATCTTCGTTCTAGCAAGCCTGTTTAATTAGAATCCTTAGTTCTAGGATAACACAGTGTCCTTGATTGTGTCATATTTGACTCAATTTCTCGTACTCTGGTTTTCCCATGCTTTTCAAAAATACCTGGCATGAAGATTTTGAAATTTCTTTTGATCAAGAAAAGCATTGTATAGCTGAGTGTCCATCTGATTTCCTCCCTAACCAATTAGGTCTCAGTGATGTTAGTTTCGAAACCCGAGTTCTGGCTCACATTGTTGCAACTACCCTTCTTCCTCGCACTGGCTCATTCTCCACCTTCCCTTAACGAGACACCTTTCTTGTCTACTGTCTAGTGACCAAGCTTTAAGGTCAAGCTGTCCTCACGCGTCATAAATTATTGTTGAAAGTGCTGATGACCCCACCAGTCTTCCTTATGGTATGGTTATCACCCATCTCTTCGAAGCCCACAACATCTCTATCTCAGAAAACCCTTTTGTCTCTGTCTAAAAATTCTACAACTCTAGAGCCTTTGCCAGTATGGGGTATGTGTTTGTTAAGAGTTCCTGGGTGAAGAAATAGGAGGGAGAAATCAAGATTGTTCAACCTAATTCAAAGGTCAAAGCCTCTGGTTTCCATCATAGTGGAAGTGATCTTGATCTTGTAAGAAAATTGGTTGCTATTGATAACAAGCTGACCATCATCAAGGACTTTCTTGCTGCAACTCAATCAATCGTTGGGTACATTCATGCCATCTCCAAAGAGACAGGGTCCGATGTTTCAAAGATAAGGGTCAGAATTCTCAAGCTAGCAGAAAACGCAGTCAAAGCCTTCAAGGAGGTACATGACAGAATTGATGGGGTGACAGTTTCAGCAAATTCCAGCTTTGAGCGTCTGAATGAGGCGATTTGCAACACTCTCACTTATTTCTTGCGTCGTTAGTTGTGTATGTTTTAGATAATTTTTTGCTATTTTGGACTTGATAACCAGTCATTGGATGTTTTTTTATTTTTTCTAAACTCTGCATGCTTATAATTGCCTATATTTGCCTAAATGCCTGCATCTGTTTATTTCACTCTGTACATATGCATATCCCCTCTTTGCTGAAGACAAAAAGGGGGAGAAAAGGTTAGTTATATAGTGCAGGTCAAATAGCAGCACTTGTTGAGGGGGAGTCGACTGCAGCATATGAGGTTACAAGCACAACACAAACAGCAGCACCTTTTGAGGGGGAGTCGACTGTCACATCATGGAAGTCGACTACAGCAAAGAAAGCACCAACAGTAACAGGGAAGTGAACTGCTTTTATAAATATTATTTTGCCATCATAAAAAAAGGGGGAGATTGTTAAATATAAGTTTCAATGATGAAAAATAACATATCACTATTGGTGCAGGATCACAAGGGATAAAACAAGGGAATCAAGAAGCCTTATCATTCAAGTATGGAAGAAGTAAAAGAATTAAGGAAACAATCTATCACTGGGAGAAAGTAAAGAAGGAGAATGATGGAAACTCTAGAAGCAAAAGAAAGGAAAAGTATCAATGATTAGAGACGAAAAAGGAAGAAGCAGCGGAGATCCAGAAGAAGAATCAATCAATAATTTGATAGATGATTGACGGAAGTTATTATAGGAAGGTCCCAAATCAAAGAAAAATGAGATTGTGAAGCTCTGCACTGGAGATCGTTAAAGCCCAGAATCAAGGGATCCTATGTTGATTACTGAAGTAACGGAAAGATCTGATTAGCCGAAGAAAAGCCTATCGAGGCCATAAGTCAAGGAAGATCAACGGAAACTTCACCTTATTCTTGAAAAGAATCAGTTTATGATTCCTTTCAAGGATCAACTCCCTTGGGTTTGTAATCTCTCAAGATTCACGTCAATCAAGAGTCAAGACGGTCTCACGAAGTATATATACATCTATTCCAGGCTTGAAGCAGACATACTTTGAACGAACCACTATCACTCTTTTTGTTCTACTCTAAACAAGCATTGTAGTTCTCTATAGATTTGTTGTATAATTAGTGAGAGAAGAAAAAGAGATAAACACTGGTGAGGCATTGTTTCAAGAAGAGAGAAGTGACATAGTGACTAAACTGTTGGTGTAAAGCTACATCAACCATCTTCTAATCGAGAAATTTCAAATACTGAAAGAGAGCACCCTTGCAACCCATGGGTACTGGACGTAGGATTCACATTGAATCCGAACCAGTATAAAAATTCTCGTGTCTTTAATTCCTGCACTTTATTTCTGCTTTATTTTTATTCTGTTCTTATCTCTAGTCGACTAACTGGTAAATTAGTCAACTACTTAGAATACAAAGAAGAAAAATCAACAATTTTACCCCCCCCCCCCCCCTCTTGTACTTTCATGACACAACAATTATTTAAAGAGTCAAAGGCGGTTTTCTTTTATCATAATATTTTTTATGTCTTTTAAATATTTTGAATTGTTAATTATTATAATACTTTTATTGTTTCTAAATAAGTAAATTTTATTTAAAAAATTTGAGGATTCATATTCGAATTCACATTGAAAATTAAATAACTTGACCTTCATACTCTGAATCTTGTCAAATAAAATAGGACAACACGAGTATTTCCTAATCTTGTCACATAAAATGGGACTTCGCGAGTATTTCCTGATTTTAGTGACATCTATCCACTAGAAGTCACCATTCAACTCTTCCATTTAGTTCTTGTAGTATGTGAATGGTAATTCTAGTTAGGAGACCTATGGGTTTCTCCTTGTTCAAAAAAAGCTTTTGTTGCTAGTGGGAATTGAATCTCTGAACTTATGAAGGTTTTGAACCCCCTTGACCACTAAACTACACTTTTGGATTGTGTTAAGGGGTTCAAAATTTAATATATAGAGATAAAACCAGATTTTGCCTTATATGTACAGTGTAATTTTTCGGCTTGCGCCCCCTAAATCCGCCCCTGCTTACGAAGCGGATGAACTCTTTTTATCCAGAATGTACTAATCATTTCTAAGGTGCAAAGAAGATTTTCTCATAAAAAACCTAGCCGTCATATACTTTGTGGGAAAGACGTGTCATTTCCAACACCCGTGTATATATATGGATTGAGGATTGGCAAATCCTCACCATTTCTCAGTATAATAAGTTCATCTCATTAAAGAATACAGAGTCACAAAGCTATCTCCCTTTCTTTAATTTTCTTTCAAAGAGTTGAAGCACTTCTAGCTGAAAAGCTAACCATGTGTAAATCATCTACCGGTTTTTTCTTCATAATCCTTTTCTTCTTCTCTACCTTATCCTATGCTGCTCGTCCTCACCCTGTTTTTCAGGATGCCACCCTCTGCAATATTCAACACCAGGTAAGTCTTGGACTAGCAAATTGATGATTTCGGTTGTATATGATTGAGTTGCGAAAACTTCTAAATAAGCAGTTTGTATCTTAATCGAACCTTTTAGGTTAAAATAAAAAGACTTATATATGGAATATACCAAAATTATTTATATATCATGTACTAGTAAATATGTCATGATATTTTTAAATATAGAAAGATATCATTGTATTTGCAACATTACGAAGTACTATTGAGCTTGTTCGACTCTCTTAAGTGGTTATTTGTTGCTTTTATTTGGTCTTAGGTTGTTGTTGAACCAAAGCAAGTTCGAACGGAAGAGAGATGCAAAGGAAGTCAGGACGAAGAATGTTTGGAAAGAAAGACTTTGGCTGCTAATCTCGACTATATTTACACCCAAAACCATAACCCATAAAAAGCTAGTGTACGTTATGAGGAAATTAAGAATATCGGAGTCCTTTTATTTCTTGGATTAGTTGTCGCTGATATTGAATTGCATTTCCTGTACTACTTGTTGATTCTCCCTATAATGTACTCTAGCATATAGAACACTTCATCTTTTAAGTTTCTCCGGCTGTTTGATCATAGATTTCTGTAACTTACCATGCACGAAGAATTAATTCCCCAATCAATACTACATGAAAATTATTTTACAGACAGATTTATTTCATGTTTCAAACTCGTGTCCTAACGTCAGTAAGAGTACGTTTATGTTGATGTCACGCTTATCTTGTCGGTGGAGACGGAATTAAGATTTTAACAGGACCAAATTGAATATTTATGTTCATATTATTTTACGTTTCAACTTATCATAACTTTAAAATAATGTAGTTATAGTATAATATATTTATTAAAATTTTTATTATCTTTTTTTAACATATACATCTAATATTGATTTCATAAATGTGGGATCGATTGAACCCACACTTTATAATCCACGTCCGCCAATGAGTATTGGTACCTCAAATATGTTGTATGTCGGCGAAACCGACTCCTTATTAATAATGTAATTGTTGGGCTAAACTAGCTCAAATACACTCTTAATATGGTGTGATATTGTCCGTGGGACTTTGTTCGCACACCCAACAGTAATCTTAATAATTGGTGGGATAAGGTATAATAAAATACGAGATTATTTTATCCTGCAATTAATAATGAATATTAATTAGTTTCGAGAATCGTTTTGTACTAAACTCAACATCATTATCTATATCGTATCCGACCAACCAAGCTAAAGGTACGAAAGGTGAATAATACCATCTCTATATTGCATGATTATAAATAGAATTGGACCTTAGCTTAAATGGAAAGGAACTGCTTGAATTAATCAGAAAGTTAAAAGTGCTACGCGATGTTTATGGAGGTGGTACTTGACAGCATAAGCTATAATATCGGCATACTACATTTTAGCTACACTTGTAGATTATAGCAGATCACAAATTGAAGATTTCCTTCCACATTTTAAACATATATACAGGTACGTATAGTTATTTCCTGCTATTACGAGCTTTGGTTGCTTCTCGAGGTTGCTGTGTTGAAAATCAATTTTATTTAATATACTAGTGAAGTTATCCGTGCTTCCCGCGGTCATATAAACCATAAATATATTTACAAAATCATATACTAGGTATATCCATATCTATATAATATGAAGCTGGTCATTATATTGATAATGTGACACATCTTATAAACCAAAGAAAGGTATTTGCTTTTTTTTTTTCTCTCTCTCTTTTATGTTTTACTTTTTATTCTCTCATTCCTTGCTTTCAAGATATTTCAATTAAGCCCCCCCACCCCACCCCACCCCACCACCCACCCTTAGAATTCTCTTACTAAATTAAAAAATAACAATTGATTTGTATATGAAGCGCAAAAGTCATCTGCCACTGAAGTGTTCTCGTTAATTCTTGAATGATTATTCAACTTCTCACATGAGTAGATAATAAATTAATTGCAATAGTTACAAGTATTAAACCATAACTGAATTCTATTGTGAAATTTCAGCTCTTTTCCTTCTGATTCCTGGTTCTTGTAATGCACTGGATAGCCCGTCTCTTTGTGAAAGTTTTACTGATGCTGCCATACTTCTTTTGTTTTCTCTAAGAAATTCACTTTATTGAAAGAGAAGAATCTCCATGATTAAAAGTGAAATTTATGGAATTGATTAATCTGGCGAAATGAAATCGGATAGTATAAAACAATAAGATAATTATATAATATATTTTAAAATATATAGAAGGTTATAAAAAATTCAATGTCGGACTTTATTTGCCGTGAAAATTGATCAAATTCATGTGAAGAAATTTTTCCATGAACACTTTCTTGTTTGGAGAAAAAAAAATAAGAAAAAAAATAAAGAAGATCGCTAAGTCATTAGCCTTTTCCTTTCCCGACTCAAAAATATAATTTTATCTCAATTCTTTTTTCTTATCTTCCTCGTCTCTTTTATAGTCAATCGTTCTAAATTATGTTCCGCTAGTCTCTGTCTCTCTGAATGTCCATGTTCCTGCTTATGCGTATGATCTGAAAGATCATATTTTATAATGTAATTTATACTCAAAAGATTTTCACTCATTTTAGTAGGAAGAAAAAATAAAAGAGATATATGAATATACCACGTGATGAAGAAAAAAAAAAAGAAGATCACCCCAATATAAGTATAACATAACGAAATTTAAGATAACAAACAAAAATTACCTCACGCGAATTAAAAAGGTAAAAGAAAATATAAAGGCACAACATAAAACAATCTTTCTAGATGAGACTTATGCAAGAAACAGTTCTTATGAAAGGATTAATTATTTATGTAATATTTCCTTTTGGACTTCTAATAAGGAATGAAAAAATATATAAAAGCTAGAGAAAAAAAAAGGATAATTAGGTTTTTGACCTATGAGAGGTGCCAAGTCTTAAGAATATAATCAACATGCAAATTATAAGTTGTGTAATCCAGAGAAACAAAACACAAAAGGGAACTAACATCAAACCACATGTTTGTTAGCCTTGAACTGTTGAACATCTCGTTGGGAGTATCAACCTGAAATAAAAAGAAAGAAGATCACAAATTATTACTTAAACCAGAATATTTCGAGATATAAACCTCATCATTGCTAGAAAATATTGCTTCTAAACACCGAAAAAACTTCAGTGCTTCTAATTTTTATGTATTTTTCTGGTAGTGTGTGTGTATATAATTCAATTGTAGTTAATAACTTGTATTTTAAAATAAAATCCATCAGTCTATATGTTAAATATTTGAAGTCTCCGGAATAATATTGACATTAGTTGCTTAGGCCTCTTTAATTATAACAATAGTGAATACTTGATATGCTGACAAAAAATGGGGTATTTGGCATGAAGATAAATACTGCTAATTAAGTGAATAGCATAAAATCTGATTCAACTAATTTTTCCAGCATTTAGAAGTTAAATCTCACATACAACAATACTATATCAACATTAAAAGGGGAGTTGACATGAAGATAAATGTTGCTAATTAAGTAAATAGCACAAAATCTTATTCAAATACCTTTTCTGCGTTAAGTTGAATCTCACATACAACAACTGTATATCGACATACTGTATACAATAGATAAGTAACCAAGTTCTGAATAAAATTGTAAACATTAAAGAAAATAACAATACCATGATAACTAAGGAAAGAAACCAACAAATACTTCATCTGACGTGGAAAAAAATACGTGAGAAAAAGAATGAGATTCAAATAAAGCACAAGAACGCAAGTGAATGTGAAATGATCTAAAGTCACCTTGAGCAGAAAGACTCCTTTTTTGCTGGAGTCCTCAATGTCTAAAACATAGCAGATAGTGCAAGAAAAATGCATTGCTATATTTCTTTAATTTGAAGAGGCAATAGAATTGGTCAATTTTATGAATATGAGAATTTTCCGTTTCTGATTTCAATGCAATTAACTCCTTCACCATTAATTAAGAAAGATAAGAGGAGTGAGGATTTGTTTGGGCATTGAAGAAGAACGTTGTTAAGAGTAAAAACGGTTAGTGGGCTTAATGTTTGGGATGTTTAGTAGCATTTTAATAGCATTTATTATTTGGAGTAGTGAGCTAATAAAATACTATTAGAAATAAATGGAGAAAAGGAGTGAAATAACAAAAAAAATTCAAAAAAACCAGGAAAAAGAAAAATAAGAAAGTTGGCCATTCAGGGATGCCACATCAGCTGGCCATTTCCCAACTTTATATATATATATATATATATATATATATATTGATTGCCAATGGCACCTTCAGAAGCTATCTGTCACTCCCTCCCACCATATCTACCCTCATCCAAAGTACCAACTTCAATACTCGCCCTGGCACATTCTGCTAATTCCAAATCAAAACGACACATTCAGTAAAAAAATCAGCGTATGATCTATACCTTCAAGAACACCACCTATCTGCCACAGTTGCTTCCCCAATCTCATGGATTTGAAAACTTCATATTCCGAATAAACTTAAATTGTTCCTTTGGCTAATTCTTCAAAATCGACTTCCTATGACAGCCTACTTTCACAACTTGCATATTCTCCATGACCCTAAATCACTACTAGGAATTCGGCAAAAACCGACCAACTTTGGTCGGTAAAAAAATCGGCCAAAGTTGGTCGGTTTTTCAAAATATTTTAATTTTTAATTTTTTTTTTTACGAAACCGACCAACTTTGGTCGGTTTTNTATATATATATATATATATATATATATATATATATATATATATATATATATATATATTGATTTGATGTTATTTAACTTGACATGATGTTTAGAAAAGTAAAAAACTTTTAATACTTGTGGTCTTAAATGATATCATAATAATTATAATTATTATACTTTTTGAAATTTGTAAACTTAAATATGATATAATAGTATTTGTGTTGATGTAAAAGTTTCTTGTTAAGATAATATAAAATGTGTCTTTTTTTCTACGGACAACTAAGAAAATAGTGCAAAAAAATTAAACAGAGGGAATAATTTTTAAGACTTATGTTGTTAAAATATGTCATTTGCTATAAAAGCATGCCATTAATAATAACATAGAACATTTAAAGTGAAATTATTTTCAAATATAAAACAATCATTTTTTTAAACAAATCAATAAGAAAATAGCGCCACATGATATAAATAAAATACATAGGGTGTAAAAATCTATTTCAATTTCAAGTCACTTGTAAAATAACTGTTACAATAGATTTATAATTAGTGAAATTTATATTTTTTAATAATAACGCAATTAACCTCCTATTGCATACTACAGTGATATTATAACACTACTAGAAATCCGCCTAAAAGCGATCGCAAAAAGCGACCAGAGTTGGTCGCTTATTGGCTAAAAAGCGACCAAAAAGCGACCAAACGGACCTGGTAGCTATATTGATGGTCTCTTTTATTTAGGGACCAAAGTTGGTCCCTAATTAGCGACCAACTTTGGTCTCTAAGCTAAATGGACCAAATATTCCGGATATTGACTATAGAGACCAACTTTGGTCGCTTTATTAATTTAATAATATAAATTTGGCGACCAAAGTTGGTCTCTAAATATAAA